GGGGTCATGGGTAGGCCAGGCACAGTGATGGGGAAGGGGGGTGCCCTGCTTCTCCCTCCATTGGATCTGGGGATACTGGGTCTCTGATGGTGGTTTTTTTCTTCCACAATCTGTGCCAGTGGTGGGCTCTGGGCACCCAAGTCCCACTTGTTCTCCTTCAGCCCAGAAACCACCTCCAAGGACCAGGTCAGAAATGAGATCACCCCTCCTGCATGCAGATGGGGAGGGTGGCCAAGAGGCTCTCAGACGCAGCCCCAGCCTGGCTACAGCTGGGTTCCCTGCCGGGCCCCCTCCCCTTCGGACCTGCAGGGCAGCCTGCCAAGTCCCTGCAGGATTTTCCCGACTTCCTCCCTGCAGCTCTTGGGTGTGGCTGGGGCTGGGGTTGAGTGTGGGGGGGGTAGGCCGGACGACAGCCACTCAGCCCCTCCCCATCCTAGGCCATCCAAAGGCCTTTCAGAAAGCTCAGTGTGTCTGTCTCCAGGGGGTCTGTTGGTGATATGTGTCCGGGGTGGGGTTGGGGGACAAGGAACACGGCCCCACCTGGGGTCCAGATGCCTGTGCCTGGCAGGTGGACTGGCCTCCCCTTGGCTCTCACTACCCATTGACAAAGCCCATCCATGGGGTACAGGCTTGCACCCCTCCAGCCACCCCCTCCTTTTGAGGGAGGGGCATTCTTCCCTGGGCTCCTCTCACCTGGAGGGGAGTGCCTGCTTGCAGTGTGCACACCCCCAGGCTGGGGCTGGCAAAACTCAGTGGGCGGCCATTTGTCAAAGCGGGTGCCCTCAGGCCCGAGGACGGGGGAGGGTGGGGCGGCCCTGTGAAGCTGCCTGAACTTGACTGCGGGTGCCTTGACTGCACAAGCTGGGCCAGCCCAGAGGGAAGAGGGGGCTTCCATCTCATGAGGGGAGGGGGACATAGCCCACCCATGGGGCTGCCCCTGGAGCCCCTAAGTGGTGGGTGGGCTAATGGGGAGAGGGCTTGCAAAGCGGGATGCTCTGGGCCCTGGAGCTCCCTTTCCAAGTCCCTCCCAAGCCAAGCTGAGGATGTCCCCAGGGCTCTGGGGTGGCTGGGTCAGCAGCGAGACTGGGAGGGCAGGCGCTGTCTCCTGCAGAGGATGTGTGTCCTGAGGCAGGTGTCCCAGAGTGTCCCTCTGGCATCCTTGTAGCTTTGGGAGGTTCTCCTACCCCAAGACCTCCTAGGGATTTCCCAGGACTCGAAGGAATGGTACAATACAATCTGACCTGAACAAACAGTACACAAGGCAGGGGAAACTGCTGCCTCAGGCTTCCCAGGGCCACCAGCTGACATCACCCCCTCCTCACCCCCAGGTCCGAGTCTGGCGGTACCTGAAGGGCAAAGATGTCGTGACCCAGGAGAGCCTGTTGGATGGCGGCAACAAGGTGGTGATTGGTGGCTTTGGAGATCCCCTCATCTGTGACAACCAGGTGTCCACTGGGGACACCAGGATCTTCTTTGTGAACCCCGCGCCTCCATACCTGTGGCCAGCCCACAAGAACGAGCTGATGCTCAACTCCAGCCTGATGCGGATCACTCTGAGGAACCTGGAGGAGGTGGAGCACTGCGTGGAAGGTTCGAGGGCTCGGGCGGTGGGGATCGGAGGAGGGGTGGGGAATCTGGGACTAGATGGTGGTTGACGGGTGGCTGGCTGTGGGCAGAGGCTGGCAGCTGTGCCCAGGTGCCTGAGAGAGCCAGGGTCCCCTCATGCTCCGGGGCAGAGGGAAAGCGCTGTCAGCCGCAGCCCACATCTGCGTCAACCTTGCTCCCTGCTTCCAGTTGTGCCTGACCATCACTGTCAGCGGCCTGAAGCCCTGACGTTAGCACCTTCACCCTGCCCTCCTTCATCTTGGGACGGGAAGAGTCTCAGCCCTGCAAAGGGACAGGCTGCCTCTGTCCCCTCCCCCTGCTCACTTACCCCCCTTTTGAGGGGCCCTTTTCCAGGGGAGAGGGGGGGACCAGGTGAATGAACACCAGCTGTTGATGTTCCTGCAGAATCCCGGACATCTGTCTAGGCCCGGCCCAGATGTCCTGCAAACCCTGCTGAGTGGGGGTGGAGGGGACTGGCCTGTGTTGGTTTTGAGGGGGCTCATTTCTGGGCAGGGCAGCTCTGTGGGGTCAGGGTGGGTTTGGGACCCTAATGGAGATGAAAAGCTTCTCTCCTGCTTGGTCTCCACTTGTGTATTGTGAACGGCCCTAGGGTGGATGTTTCTCCCCTGCTCAGCCTCTGGGAAGTGGGACTCACGTGACAGACCCCTCTCATCCCAGGACAGTCCCAGTTGGGTGCTGAGATCCTTGGCTGGGAAAGAAGGGGGGGGAGTTGGAACTGCTTGTCGCCCCCACATCCTGCCTGTTCCCTGTCTGTTTGGGAAAGGATATACCCAGCCGGAGGGGTGGTCCCCAGAGGAAACTTCCTCCTGGGCTGGTGGGAAGGGTCTGGGACTTCCTGTCCCTGGGAAGGCAGCCCCCACTCCCTTAACCTTTCAGCCAAGCCAAAGTCATATCATCTCTCCGACTTCCTGCTTTGACTGCTTAAGGGGTCTCTGTGGCTGCTGGTGGGCTCCTGGGTTCTTTGGCTTCTGGCCCATGCTCAAGGCAGGGACTGCCCAAGGGGAGGGGCAATTCTAGAACAGACCCCATGGTGTCTCTGGCAGCTTGTGGTGGGCTGCCTCCCAGGGCCCAGGCTGAGAAGGGTTCCCTGAGGCAGCACCGCCATCATAGGCAGGGGACAGCTTTGAAACCGGCCCTGGCTGCCCTGGAAGCTTGTGGACTTGGCTGGGCTGATGGAGCAGGGGCCTTCGGGGGAGAGGAGGTGGCAGTGAGGGGGCTGCAGATGGGGTTAGACGGGCTTCACCAGGGATGCTTAGGTTTTTTTGGGGGGTGAGGGGGCATGCAGAGGGGACAAGGTCTTCCTTGCTGGCCAATGGTCAGAGAAGGGGCAGGAGAGGAAGGTTGAGGTGCAACCAACTCCTTAGCTAGCCGTCCGTCTGGATCAAATAATTATTTCTCTGTGTAGCTGAGTGGGTTTGGCCTAGGGGGGTCCGTGACTCTATAACTGAGGACATGCCACAGGGTCAGGGGGCACGTAGCAGAACATGGCAGGCATCTGCCAAGCTGGCTCAGCCCACACCAAGCCATGGCTTTGTGTCTTAAGTACCCAGGCTGGGCAGAGGGACAGCTGGCAAGGAGCAAACCCTCGCCCCAGCCCAAAGCCCCCGGTTGGCCCAGGCTGCCCGGGCATGGGAACCCTGGGCTGAATGTGGTGAACTCAGGGGTGGGTTTTTGTAAGTCGGCCCCAGAAGAGGCAGGCCCACTGGGGCCCTTGGAAGCCTGGCCCTGGGACTATCCCTCTCCTTGGAAGAACAGGGTGTCTAGGGTAGGCTAGGTATAGAGGTGAGTCATGGAGTTGGGGCCAGACCTGGGGAAGGAACAATTGCTTTGTGCCCAGCCCACCCTGGCTGGCTGGCTGGCTGTGAAGGAAGGCCCCCACCTCCTATTCTCTGTTGGAGATAGGGACCTCCGACCCCACCCCAGGGATTAGGGCTGTGGTAGCCCAGAGCCAAGGATAACTCTGAATGAAGGGGACAGATAGGAAGGGGCCTGGCCAAGCTGACATCTCCCCTGGCTCATTCCTACCAGGGGCCACATGCTACTTTGTGAGCAGATTGTAGGGTGAAGTCTTGGTAGCCAGTCCTAGTGCCCCAGTCCCCACCTGTCGTTAACCCTGAGACCATTGTCTCCTGATGAACTCTTTTCTCTAAAGAGTCTCAGAAGGAGGCCCCCAACGTGGGGTGGGGAGCACAGCCTCCTAGAGCACCTACTTCCTCCCCACCTCGAGCCTGGGTGCCCCCCAACCCCCCAAAGCCACAATCAGAAAGCTAGGGGGAAAGCTGGGTGGGCACTACACCCTGGGGACCTTAACTACCTAATCCAATGGCCCCTCCCTCCAGTGCTCAGACACCTCCCCTGTACACCCAGGACCCCTCCCTTCTCTCCACCCACTTGGCCACCCCACCTTGCCTTTCTTCCAGGGTTGTGGCTGCAGAATGGTCACCAGGTGCCCCACTAAGGTCCCGCTCCCCTTGTGCCTGGCTACTGTCACCTGGACCCTTCTCCCAAGGGCTCCCGCCTCAGGCAGCACATCCCACTTCCGGCTCCCTAGAGACCTGCCTCCCTTCCTCAGTTTCTCCCAGACCTGCAGGCTTCCCTCCTTCTGTGAGGCCGCTCCCCAGCCTGCTCCTCCTCCCCCACCCGGCCTGGGGAGCCACATTCCTGACATAACTGAGACAGGTATGTGCCCCTCCCTCTGCTGCCACCTTTGGGCCAGGCGGGGGAGGCCGCTGCTCTGAAGAGGACCCCCCC